GAGGACAAGTCAGTGGGAAGCTATGCAGCCAATCTACCCCCCTAAAGAAGAGGAGTATTGATCACAGAAGGGGTGGGAACTAGCTTATCCCTCTTACCAGGAGATATGCATCTAGACAGAGGAAAGGTCCCTGGGTTTTTATTTCTTTTTTTCCTCTCTCTTTTTTTATTTCCAAATGACTGCATGTGATTATAAGCAAGCCCAAGGAAGTGGCTGCTAAAAAAACCCAAAGGGTTAGAGAAAGCTTAGCAGCCTAGTCACTGCCTCAGATAAGCTTATCTCTTTCACAATCTCCCTCAGTTTTGCCAGTGTATTGTTTTGTTTTGTTTCTTTTGAGACAGAGTCTCATTCTGTTGCCCTGGCTAGAGTGCAGTGGCATTATCATAGCTCACTGCAACCTCAAGCTCCTGGGCTCACCCAATCCTCCTGCCTCAGCCTCCCGAGTAACTGGGACTACACGTGCGTGCCACCATACCCGGCTAACTTCTTCTTTTTAGTAGAGATTGGGTCTTGCTCTTGCTCAGGCTGGTCTTGAACTCCTAACCTCAAGTGATCTCCCATCTCAGCCTCCCAGAGTGATAGGATTACAGGCATGCCATTTTTGTTTATTATTATTTTAATGAGTCTTGCAGGAGTAATCTTACTTGTGGCACGGGTCTACTCCTAACTAGTGAGATTTTGTTCTTATCATTTAGGAAGTTAAATAATAATGGAAACTCTATAGGGCACTGGCCAGGGTTAGAGGAATAAAATCAGGAAATATTAATAGTGTTTATTGTTTAGGAAGGCAAGGAAAAATTTCAAAAAGGAGCTTAAATTCTTCAATGTTATCAAGTGCCATATGGGTACAGAATAAGACAGGACTGAAAAGAGTCCACTTGATTTTGTATTGATGCTAACACATTCAACAAGTATTTGTTAAGTACATATCATGTGAATAAAATCAACATGATTCATCCACTTACAGAACTTGGAATCTAGTTGGGGTTATAAACAGTCAATAGATAACTTCACAAACATTTAATTAAAAACCATGATAATTTCTAGAAAGGAAAAGAAAATAAGTACCCTGAGAGAGTTTAACAGGGAGACTTATTTTTAATTGATACATAAGTGAAGGCATCACTGGGAAAGCAAAATTTACCCTGCTACTCGAAGAATAAGCAGGAGAGAGAGGTGGGAAGGGAATGTGAGTAAAGCAGCAGCATGTGCAATGGTCCTGGAAAATAACATTCAACATGGTGAGGCATAATGAGCAAGAGGCCAAGCAGCAGGAGATAAAGTAGGAGAGGTGAGCAGGTGCCAGACCAGACAATGCCCTGTAGGTCAAGGCAAAGAGTTGATGCTGTAGCTTTAGTGCTATAGAACACCACTGATATTTGAAACAGAGAAATAATACAATGCAATACAAATACACTCCAGAAATGTGAGTCTCAGGGCTGTGCCAAGACTGATTTGGAAAAGGGCAAAAGTATACGTGGGGAAAACAAGCTAAAAGTATATCGTAATGGTCAAAGAGAATGATGATTTTGGCTTGGACTGAGGTGGTTAGTGGTGTACAGATAAACAGAAGTGAGTAGATTTGATGTATATTTTAGATGTGATTGGGAGGTAATTAATGACCTGTCCTAAATCAATTTCAATGCATTATTTAAGGCAGAATCCTGATTGTTGGTTGAACAATGAATGAGAAGTAAGGAAGTAGAGAGCAAAAGATTAGTCCTTGAAAAAGCTGATGCTAGGAAACGGAGAGAGGGCAGTAGCTAGCAGAAATCTCAGGGTCAATGAAGGTATTTTATTCATCCACCCATCTATCCATTCCAGGCAGTGAGTGACTTAAGATTTTCTTTCTTTCTTTTTTGTTTTTTGAAGTGCATGGTAGAACGGAAATTGACAAATTGAGAAGCCACTAGAATAACCAACAGAAATAAAGCAGGCAAGAGATAACTATTGTCCTAAAGTAAGTGGGGGATAATAATGCCCAAAGCTGAGGTAGGAAAATTAGCATGTAGTAGAGCATCCCACACACCCCCCAGTAGAGCACACTGGTTGAAAGCACTGGCTTGGAATTCAGGTTGCCCAGGTTTGAATTCCGTATCTACTAGTTACTATGTAACCTTGGACGAGTTATCTAGCATTTCTTGGCCTGAATTTCCTCATTTAATATGGAGCCAATAACAGGGCCAATGCCATAGGGTTACTATGAGGAACACATAAGATGGTGTGAGTAAAAATACTTCACACAGAATCTGACACAGGAAGTCCTCAATTTATTTTTGTTTCTATTGATAATAATAGCAACAACAATGATATCAGTAATAATAGTTGGGCATCTCTCTTTCTGAGGCCTGATTTGACAGAGAATGGGTTAATAAAAGATATGGCTAGGGATAACATTGTGGGTACAAGAGACATTGGAGGTTCTGAAGTGCTTTCCTTTTTCTCTGGCAAATGAGAGGTTAGGTTGTTTGTGATAAGTGAAAAGAATGGGGAGGAGACAGATAGAAGAGTGGGTAAGATATGGCATGGCCACTACGGAAAAATGAAAGGCCCCTGAATGGGAACAAATGAAATAACTGCTGAAACAGCACTGAGAATCCCATTGAGGTAAAAGCTAAAATGTCGTAAAGACACCAATTCACTCAGTTCACCAAAGGGAACAGGAAGAAAGAAAGCCAGAGAGTTAGAGGCACAACGTGAATGCTAAGAAGTTTGGGTTTTATTCTGTAAATTCACGGAGATACCAGAGGTTTCTGATATAGAAATCATAGGGAAATACAGACTTTTAAGAAGAATACATTAGTAGTGCCAATGGGAGAAGACAGCAGAGGCAAGGATTCTCTCTAGTCTGGAGCCTCTCTCATTAGTGCAGATGATTCTGTGTATTTCCGAAGTTGTCCTCACTGTAGGCTATTGACGTATGTTTTAGGGTTAAAAAGTGTTTGGGTATATTCACACAGAAGTGAATTTAATTTCAGCATACACCTAGAGAAATACATTTTAGAAAAATTTTTACAGGCCTAAAATATACTATTGTTTAATCTCAAGCCCATACTTAGCTTTAATAATTGTCCTGTAATTAAATTCAATACACATTTATTTACTGTGCATTTTATATAAGATATCGTTCTAAGCACTGCAAAGGACGCATGTTAAAAAGACGAAGGTATACCATTATTCCAAAAATATTTCTGTGATAGGAGTTTGGATAATCTTTATTTGGCAAATCCTGATTGATGCTGCCTTAGGTAATTTACATGGTGTAAACTACTTTCTAATGTCCTTGACATTTTTCCCCCCACAGACATGTAGCTAAGGATGGTGAGAGTAAATGAGAGGACCAGGTTACTTCATGTACACACAGCCCCAGAATTATTTATGGTTATGTGCATAAACAAGAAATCTCTTCCATTTTCTATTTTGCTTTTAGTTCAGAAGGTATATTGCTTTTTATGTCCCCAAACTTCATTTCCTCAGTGTGGTACCAAGGATATTCCTCAAGCAGGACTTGCTTGGCAAACTAATACATCTTCCAAGATAAACTGCATTCAGAAAAAGAAATGGCTTCAGAGAAATTGTGTGGTGTACCTACTGTAAAACTCATAACCATCATGACACAGCTGAATTCTCAGAGGGTATATAGCCTTGCTTCAATTATAATATGAATCCAAGCAGCTTAGGTTTCACGCATGGACTTTGGTCTAGAAAATTTTATTATTTAATATTATACTAAATTGCTGCTAGTTAACATCTAACCAATTCAGCTGATTAATTTTCCTTGTCCAAAAATAAGAAAAATACCTTCTGCAGTACCTTTATATGCTCTATCTGATCCCAAATATACATTCCTGATTTTCTTTGCAAGGATTTGACAGAATCCTTCTACATCAGTATAGGCAATGAGATGTCTTAAAATCAACAAACTCCAAAGATGGGCAAGCGGTTCAAAAGAAACATACTTAGTCCCATATATCACAGTTTGACGTTAAATAGGATTTTTAAATTGCAAAGTACCAAATTAGATCAATTCTAATATATTATATTTAAAAAGCTATAAAATATTTTGGATGAAGCAGACAGTGTTTGACTATTAGGTCAAATGGTAATTATAAAATTCTTAGTATCCAAATGGAAAATGTTCATGGAGCCAGGGTAAAGCTGGCAACCATAATGGAACTATTTATTCACACAGCAAGCAAACCTGCATTAAATACTTACGTAAAAAATAGCTTTTTCTCCAAGAAATTAAATAAATCATGATATCCTCTTTCCTGTCGAATTTTTTTTTTTTTTTGCCAACTATTTGAATAGCAGATTTGGGGAATACTTTAAATATATAACTATATTTTTAATACATAATTTATACCTGGTCATCTTTGCACCCCTTAAAATGATGGGGGTAAGAAAAAATTATTCATGGCAATAATAATTTAACCACACAATGATTTAACCACATGATATATATTTCTATGATTTCCTCCCCAGCTAAAACAGCACATTTCAAGCTTTCAATCAGTTCATGACAGTCTATAGGAAATCTGAAAATCCTTGTGCTTTTTCTGACATATTATATGCCACAGAAAAGAATCTCTAGCATTTTGCTATGTATCTAGTTATTACCCTTTTATTTCAGCCTAATTTTGGGGGGGCCAAATTCTAACACCAATATCTAAAGGAAAGAAAACATAGCCAATACCATACTGTATACAATTTTGCATATACCAGCAGAGTAAAACAATCAGCACTGTTATAGAGATGATTCCATGAGATATCTTCCGCTATTTTGTGAATGTAAAAATTAATTTCATTTTTTTAATACCATGACAAATAATGAGTAAAAAAGTATTTTTTTCCTGAGAACCTACATCATATTAAACTATGTAGCTATACAGTAACAACAACAACAACAAAATTTCAACAATTGAAATGTCTCTCTTTTCACCGTTTTTGAAAGGATTACCTCCCAGCTGAGTTTACGGACCTTTGTGCTCGATACATACCACAACTCCAAACTGTTCCGGCTCACAGAGATCATCATATTCACTTTTAAGCTGTGCTAATTCATTGAGTACCTTCTGCTCAGGAAGATGTTTTACAAGGTTCTAAAAAGAAGTAAAAGTGTAAAAGTTTAGTGTTTTATTATTAGGATTTTTACACAGACATTAACAATTATAAAAGTGATTAACTAGGATAGTAAATTTCTAATTGTAGGTCTTTTACAATACCAGTGTATCCTCCCCTCCCCTCCAAAAACTGACCTAAAAATGAACTACAATGAAAGGTGAATAAAATGTATAAACTTCTTTGGTATCTATGTAATATAGTACATAAATGTTGAATAAAAAGATAATATAGGAGTAAATGGCATTCCAAAACTGAGTAAACTTCTGGACCTTAAACACATACCATAATTGTTAAAGTTTATTTCCTGTCACAATAATTAGTCAGTTAAACTGAAAACACAAAAATATTATGTAAAATAAATCCATGAACAACAATTACTAGAAAAGAAAATATGAACTCTACTACTTATAACTTTTCAAAACTTGGCACCATCTTCAATCTTATAAACCATACCTGGACTGTACAAAAATCTCTCATTATTTATAATGTCCATATTTAAGCATACAATGCATGCCTATTTTTAATGGAGAATCAAACAAAAGTAATGAAGTCTGATACATGCTCAAGTTAGATGTATGTTATGAACTGAATGTCTGTGTCCTTCCAAAATTTACATTTTGAAATCCAATCATCAATGTGATGGTCTTTAACAGTGGGGCCTTTGGGAAGTAATTAGGTCATGAGGGTGGAGCCCTCATGAATGGGATTAGTGCCCTCTTAAGAAGAGGCCGGAGAGCTAGTTTTCTCTCCTTTCACCATAACAGTGTATAATGACAAGTCAGCAGCCTACAACCTGGAAGAGGCCCCTTACCAGAACCTGACTATGCTGGCATCCTGAACTTGTACTTCCAGTTCCCAAGATAGTGAGGAATAAATTTGTTGATTATAAGCTTCCCATGCTCTGGTACCTTGTTACACCAGCCTGAAGTAAGACAAGGCCTAAGAGTATCAAAATTGATGAATTTATCTCAACCTAGTTCATACTGGACTTTGGTACAGTTTTAATTATCATCACATTAGCCTGCAACTAACATTTTGGGAACTCATATGGGATTTCAATAGACATATGAATAGGAGGAAAGCAGAAAACAAAGATTAAAGAAAGTAGGTTGGCACAAAATGGCAGAGAAGAAAGCTCCATGATTGGTCTCTCTATCAAATCAACCACTGAGCTAGAAAGATTGATTGGAATAAACTATTTCAGAACTCTGGAATCTGACTGGACACTTAACAACAACAAGGGAGTACTTGATGAAGGGAGATACTGCTATTTTCTAGTAAGAGAATATAGTGCAGGCCAGGCGCGGTGGCTCAGGCTTGTAATCCTAGCACTCTGGGAGGCGGAGGCGGGTGGATCGCTCAAGGTCAGGAGTTCGAGACCAGTCTGACCAAGAGTGAGACCCCGTCTCTACTAAAAAAAAAATAGAAAGAAATTATCTGGACAACTAAAAATATATATATAGAAAAAATTAGCCGGGCATGGTGGCGCATGCCTGTAGTCCCAGCTACTCGGGAGGCTGAGGCAGGAGGATCTCTTGAGCCCAGGAGTTTGAGGTTGCTGTGAGCTAGGCTCACGCCACGGCACTCTAGCCCGGGCAACAGAGCAAGACTCTGTCTCAAAAAACAAACAAAAAAAAGAGAATACAGTGCATGAAAGAGTCCCGGGAAGGGCAGGTTGATGTCAGGATAGGCAGTGTGGATCTTGTTCTCCAAAAATTTGGGGTTGTGCATTTTGGTTGGTTTGGCAGTTCAACAAGTGATTAGTGCAGATGTTTGTCTTGGTTTCAACACTCTTGGGTTATAGCAGCGAATGGCATCTAACAGAAGATTTAAATAGACAAAATACTTCCTCACCCACCTTTTTGGAGTTCAATATATAAGAAAATCTGTCAAGTCACTGGCTGACAGCACAGATAACAAAACACAACTTGAATGACCACATACAACACAAAATACATTATTTTGCAAAAATTGTTTGGAAAAGTCATCAATGGATGGCCACAGCCAACAACAGATGAAAATCAGTGATCTATGAGGAGTAGCAGAATCAGATTTATAGAGTTATTACATTATAATACTCAGAATCTCCAGTTCTCAATAACAGATTACAAAGATACAAATAAACAGGAACATAGGGCTCATGCAAAGAAAAAAAAAGAATTTGGAAGACACCAGTCCTGAAGAAGCCCAGACAATCAAAAATATTAAATCAGCTATCTTAAATATGTCCAATAAGTGAATAATGGACAAATAACTAAAGGAAATTAGGAAAATAATGTATGAACAGAGTGAGCATATCAATAAAGAGATAGAAATTATAAAAAAGAACAAAACTAAAATTAGAGAAATGAAAAGTATAATAATTGAAATGGAAAATTCACTGGAGGGGTTCAATAGCATATTTGAGCAGGTAAAAGAAAAGATCATTGAACCTGAAGATAAAGAAACTGAAATGATTTAGTCCGAGTTGCAGAAAGAAAAAAGAATGAAGAAAAATGAAACGAGGCTGAGGGACCTCATAAAGCATACCATAATGTTTATCATGGCATTCCCAGAAAAAGAAAAGAGAGAAAAAGGGACAGGAAAAAATTTGAAGAAGTAATGGGTGAAACTTCCTAAATCTGATTTAAAACATGCATATGCATATCCAAGAAGCTCATCAACTCTGAGCAGGATAAACTCAAAGGGATCTACTCTGAGACATATTATAATCAAATTGTCAAAACCCCAAAACAAGTAGAGAATTTTTCAAGCAGCAAGAGACAAGCCACTTGTCACATACAAGGGATTTTCAATAAGATTAATATCTGACTTCCCAACAGAAATCATGGGTAGTGGTATAGGTAGTTGCATAACATACATAAAGTTCTGAAAAAAAAATTGTCAAACAAGAATTCTATATTGAGCAAAGCTATCCTCCTTCAACAACAAAGGAGAAATTAGAACATTTCCAAATTGAAAGCAAAAACACGCACAAAAAAAAACCAAGATAACTTATCACTAGTAAACCTGTCCTGCAAGAAATGGTAAAGGGATTCCTACGGGCCAAAATAAAAAGATACTAAACAATAACTCAAAGATAACATAAGAAATAAGAACAAGTGTAAAGAAGGTCATTAAATATGAAATGTCCAATTTCAAATCAAAAGTTTAGTTTATTGTATCTCAAACAAGAAGCAGTTCAATTAATCAAAGATAGTTTATGTGCCTAAACTATCAACACAGTTTTGCCATCTTAACGGTAGCTTGTTTATGCCAGCAGCGAAGAAGTCTAGAGAGCAAGTGGCGATCAAATTGCCAAAGGCGTTTTCCACAGCTTGCTGAGAATTGGATATTTTTCCTTGCAAGAAGTGAGTCATTTCTTTAAATATAAATGGATTAAACACTCCAATAAAAATGGGCTTTCTAAATCCACTGGCAGAATGGATTAAAAAATGATCCATCTATATGCAGTCTATAAGAGACTCACTTTAGATACAAAGATACAAAGGGGTTGAAAACAAAAGGATGAAAAAGGATATTCCATATAAATAGTAATCAAAAGAGAGCTGGTGTCACTATGTTTTTGTCAAACAAAATAGACTTTAAGTCAAAAAAAGTAACAAGAGACAAAGAAGAGGTAACCTTTATATACTGAAAAGAGGTTTAACCCATCCAGGAGGTATGATGATTATAAACATACCTAAGAACAGAACATCAAAATTGAAGGAAAAATGGACAGAATTGAAGGCAGAAATATAGAATTCCACTATAATAGAGAATTTAATACCCTACTATAGATAATAATAGAACTGGAATGAAAATTATTAAGTAAAGAGAAATTGAGCAACAGTATATTCCAATGAGACCTAACAGACATATACAAAGTATTTCACCCAACAACGGCAAAATGTATATTCTTCTCAAGTATACATAGAACATTCTCCAGGACAGATAATATGTCAGGCCACAAAAAACATCATAATATATCTTAAGCAAGTGAAATCATACAAAGTATCTTTTGTGATTGCAATGGAATGAAACTGGAAAGAAATAACAGAAGAAAAAGTAGAAAATCCTCAATTATCCAGAAATCAATCAACATACTCTTAAACAACCAATGGGTCAAAGAAGGAATCACAAGAGAAATCAGAAAACACCTTGAGATGAATGAAAACAAAAGCACAACAAACTGAAATTTATGGAATACAGTGAAAGCAGTACTCAGAGGGAAAATGATAGATTAACTGCCCACATTAAAGAAAAAGAAAGATCTCAAATAAATAACCTAACTGTACATTTTAAAGAATTAGAAAAAGAGGAACAAACTAAACCCAAAGCTAACAGTAGGAAGGAAATAATAAAGATTGGATATAAATAAAATAGAAAATTTAAAACCAACAGAGAAAAATCAACAAAATCACAAGTTGGTTCTTGAAAAGAAAAAAAAATTAACAAACTTTCAGCTAGATTGACTAATGAAAAAGAGAGAAAACTCTAATAGCTAAAATCAGAAATAAAAGTAAGAACATTACTACTGATTTTACAGAAATAAAAAAGATTATAAGAGAATACTATGAATAATTATACATCAAAAAAATGGACAACTGAGAAGAAATGGACTAATTCTTAGAAACACACAAACTACTTAAATAGACTCAAGAAGAAATAGAAAGTCTGAGTAGACCTATAATAAGTAGGGAGATTGGATCAGTAATCAAAATCCTCCAAACAAAGAAAAGCCCAGGGCCCAGTGGCTTCACTGGTGAATTCTACAAAACACTTAAAGAAGAATTAATACGAATCCTTCTCAACTATTCCAAAAAATGAAAAGGAGGGAATGGTTCCCAACTCATTCTATGAAGCCAGCATTACCCTAATAAGAAGGTTGGTCAAAGACACTGCAAAAAAAGAAAACTACAGGCCAATATCCCTTATGAACACAGATGTAAAATTTCTCAAAAAATACTAGCAAACGGAATTTAAGCAGCATAATAAA